ATTCAGGATCTAAACAAACAACAATGCATAAAAATAAATACAAATCATTAAATTTTGTATTAATTTAATCTAAAAAATATAAAAATTAAATGAATGACCAGTTAAATGTCAAACAATAAAAACAGAAAGAAGCTAACTCAATACAAAGTTCACTTTGTATTGAGTTACAAGTTTTTTAAGAGTTTTTTACAAAGTGTTCCTCTAAATGATCTCACCTGTAACATACACATCATTGTTCAGGGACACTATGGAGTAACCCCACTTGTCAAGATTGGGAAAGTTGGGCAGCTGATGCCACTTTTCTGAAGAGAAAACAAAGTTAATAATAGTGAGGAAAACATCTAAAGTATCTATAAAAAAATTATACAATAATGTCAGAAGCAAGAAAGAAATCAGGCAAACATGTAAAAAATGTTCTGTTTTGTAAACTGCAGATGATTCCAAACAAAATTTAAAATGTAAAATACATTTAAACTTCAAGTTAAAATGTATATAATTAGAAGAAAATCTTACTAGTCTTTGTGTTGTAAAAGGCACAGTTCCTGGAGGGTGGTCTCTGAAGTCTTGGATCTCCGTCTTCATCCTCATCTGAGTCATCCGAGTCATCCAGTGACCGACCTCCCATCACAAACAGCACTTCCTGCAGGTTCAGTTGTGGACTCTGAGAGTTCAGTCTGTCAGAATATTCTGGTGCCAAATCTATTTTCTAAAAAGACAAAGGTTGTAAGTGATTTTGGACATCAGATTAGGAAAGATAAACGAGAGATGTTTCAACCTTCTGACCTCTCTGTGAATTTTTTCAATGGCCTCTCTGCATATGGGAGAGGCGAGCACCACGCTGGCCTTCAAGAGGGTGTCAGTCAGGTAGTTCAGGCTGAGTAGAGACAGATGTGACAAGCTGAGGAGTTCAGGGAGGTGACACAACCGAGCCTCCTTCTGATGCTCCACCCATTTCAGAATGGCTTCCACCCGCGTGCACTCTGAGCGGATCTGTAGTCCTTCATCAGACAAGCAGGTGACCAGTCTGTCTTTTTCCAGTAACAGAAACTCCTCGCCTTGTTGAACAGCCTCAAAGTTCTCCAGGAGGAAGGCCCAGGCTTTGGCCACCACTTCAGGGCAACCGTGGATCTCCCCAAACTCCAGGATCCCCAGGCAGTTTGTGCCGTCAATCTGGTGCTGCAGGTATCGGCTGCACACCGCTCGCACCGTCTGGAACTGCAGCTGGCTGGAGGTACAGATCAGGCCCTCCACGTTGCTCTGGTTGATCGTCAGCTTACCTGTGTAGGCAAAGTCAAGTAAGCAAGCGAGAATATTCGGATCGACATCCTGGAGCTCCACACGTGCGGCTATGCTCTCCAGAAAATCTCCTGAGAACATAGAGCGGAAGTACAAGCTGCAAAGTGCCAACACTCCTCTGTGACAAGGAAAATCCCTGCCACCTGCGCTCAGCGTGACATCCACCAGTTTGGGGTGAGAGCAGAGAGAACGCAAGCCTTCCAGGATGCTCTGAGGATGGGAGGACAGGCAGAAGTCCAGGTCATCCACATTACGCACCATGATGAGTTCCAGTCCAGTGAGTGAATATCAAATCTTGTCAGCAGGGAGGTAAACGCTGCAGTTATGTCTTACCTAAAAACAGCAAAGAAGCAGGAGCAACAGTTTCTAAGTATTATTTGTCAGTACTTTCGTTCATGGATAGTTTTAGTGGAAGAAACATAAGCAACCATTTCATACAGAAAAACAAGTTGTTTTTTGTCATAATTATAGTAAATACACAATCACTACTCAACATTTTTACCTTTTCTTACAAAAAGTATTTACTTCGAGAAGACACATCTTTAACACTGTGTTTTACAAGAACTGTAAAGTAAATTTAACTGGAGATCAGTAGTACTATTATTTATTTACAAGAAATAACACAATTTATTGTCATTAAATATTTAAAGATATGTAAAGAATCTCAGAGAATCTTACCCAGTACGGACAAAAGGAAACTCAGTGACATCATCCTTCAAGCAAAACAAACAAAAGAAAGATTTGGGAGCTTCAGCTTGGATGGACGTGGAGCGGACAACATGGCGAACAGCTTTTGCTAAGTCACTGAGGAGGACTGCTCGTCGTCCAGTCGGTTATTTTTAGGACCAACAATGACGCTGTGCTAAAGTTAGCCTCAGCTGCTGGCACAGGCACATGTTTGGGATAGAGTCAAAAAACTTCCTAGAGCCAGGAGAAAAACAAAGCAGGGCTGATAGTTGTTGATTTAAAAAATAAAAGGTGTAAAGGGCTGCAAGATTTTAACTGTGGAAATTAAAAAAATGATATAACAAAGAAATGAATCACAACATTATTTTAATGGAACACATAAGAATTTCCTGGTGAACTATTTTGTCAGAATGTTTTTTTTTTCTATTAGACTGAAAAACCTTGTGAATAATAAAGAAAAATGTTAAAATTTAAATGAAATTTGAAAATATTTAGGGCGTATTTGTTTATGATGCAGATGGTCATGTTTTAAAGTTGGTTGTTCTAACAACTTTAGAGTCATTCTTTGAATATATTACAGATATTGTACTGTAATACGACAGATACAGTATGGTAACATTTATTAAAAACCAGAGTCCAAACTTCAAAAACCCATTGTTAAGTATAAACACAAAGAAATAAAGCTGTATAAAATGTTCAAAATTACATTTTAGACCAGGCAGTATCAGAAAAAACAGGTAAAGTAAGATTCTAGTGATGCATGCTGTAAAACTTTAATACAGTTCCTTCGGAAGGAATGGCTGTCATAATTTAAAAAGTATTTGGGTTTGACACCAATCCCCAAAGTTCTCTAACTACAAAGCATACAAAAAGTACAAAATATGACACAAGAAGTTACTCAAAATCAAAGATCTCGGCCTCTTTTTCCTTCCAAAAAGCAAAGCTGCGGTCAATGTACTGGCAGATTTCTTCATTACTGAAACTGGAAATGTCTGTTCCTTTGTAGAGCATCCCCTCATCAGGAGTCGGCGTCTGAACAATGACCTTAGGGACCTGTCTAACCTCTGGGAGGCTGTGTTTCACCACGTTAACAGTTTCTTCAGACTCACTCACGGCGTTTCCAAAGAACTTAATTTTAATGTCCTCGAACCCATCCTTCCACTCACGGTTCCCAGCCTCGATGTCCTGAACAACAGCCTTGTGAAACTCTCTGATCGTCTCCCAGGGGAACTTCCCCACCCGATCGAACACCTCAAAGCACAGCAAGTGCCTCATTTTGCGTTCGTCCACAGGCAGATCTAACTCTAGGATGTGAAAGTAGCCCAGCATGAAGAGATCTAAGGTCAGGCTGTCGTATTCTGCAGGAACGCCATCCAGACGAGGTAAGAACTGCTCCGGGGAGAACAGGGTCTTCTGTCTGTGAAGCCTGAGGACACAAAACACTATGCAGTTATTAAACATTCAGAAACATTAGGCTTAGGCTACACATGAGGTTATCATGAGGCTGTCGACCAAAGTCATGTGATGATTAACACATTCATCATAGACGTGCACGTTTGAACGTGAGGTTATCTGTCTGGAAACCAAAGAAATGCTCTAATATCTAATACAACTCGTTTTAATGTGTACAAAAAGCAATGCTGGGTGATAATGTTTTTGTCTGTCTGGTGGTGGGGGGCTGCAGGAGTATGAGGTGCCTGGGTTGCTTTTAAGTGCTATCCAGTCCCTCTAGAACCAGTTCAGGAGCTGTCTGCATCCTTGGCACAAAGCTGAACTCGTTCTTGGTGCAGGATGGACTCTGCCATGGCTGACCCTTGTCTCCAACTCTGTTGATGGTGTTCATGGACAGTCATGGAGAGGAGGGTGTCTGGTTTGGGAGTCTCAGTGTCTTGTCTCTGCTTTTTGTGGATGATGTTGTCTGCTGGCGTCTTTTGGCCAAGACCTTCAGCGTGCACTAAGGTGGTTCGAAGCCGAGTGTGAAACAACTGGGACAAGTCAGTTCTAAATCGGAGGCCACGATTCTCCACCGAAAACTGGTGAAATGCCCCCTCCAGGTTAATGGGGAAGTCTTTGCCTCAAGTGGAGGAGTTTAAATATCCCCAGCAACACTATCCAGCTCATCCTGATGGACCCTGAGATGTTCTCAGGCCAGAGAAGATACACAACCCCTCCGATCAAGTCTGGGTCTGCCCCGAGGCCTCCTACCAGTGGAACTTGACCAGAAAACCCATAAAAAGAAAAGAGGTGTCCAGGAGGCATCCTAATCAGATGCCTGAACCACCTCTACTAATTCCTTTCGATGCAAAGGAGCAGCAGCTCTACTCTGAGCTCCACCTGGATGACGGAGTTCCTCACACGGCCACTTTACAAAGCAAGCTGATTTCGGCCGCTTCTATCCAAGATCTTGTTCTTTCTGTCATGATCCAAACCTCATGACCACAGGTGAGGGTTGGAATGTAGACAGACCAGTAAATCCAGAGCTTTGCCTTTCAACTCCACTCTTTCCTCACCACATCCAACTGAAGCAACACCCTCATTACTGAGGACAAGGCCCCAATCCATCTATCCATCTCCCACTCCATCAAACCATCACTTGTACACAAGATGCCAGATACTAAACTCAGTTTTTTTCCTGGACCTGTTTCCTCTGCGACCCGACTACAAATAAGCAGTAGAAGTTGGAGATGGAGACTAAAATAGCTACAACTCTGACAGTTCTTAATAAAATGATATTTTAGTTTAAAATCCTGGCATGTAAGTGGCGGGTGATAAGCATTCCTTATACAAATTGTAGGTATTTAATTTATTTCAGCTCCTGTCACTGTTTAGCTGCCTACATGGTTGGCTTTCTGCACCAGTTTTTGTTTGTTGCTGAGCAAGAAAGATACTGATCAACACATCTCTGATTTAGCTGATGAGCGTGATAATAACCAACATTAAATGGGGAATATGGAATAAATTTAAATGAGATAATTAGACTAAAGAAGGAGTTTTGAGAAGTTGAGAAGTCCATGACATTCCTTCTGTTTGTTCCTCGCTGCAACGCTGTCAGGTTCCCGATAAGACAACGCTCATTAAATTGTTTTTTGTTGCTGTGAAACAGCCAAACAAGTCTGAAATTTATGCGCATCAATCGGCAATCCCCTTCAAGATATTTCCAAATGTCTCCCATGCACTGTAAAAATGCTGATTTAATATGACAGCAGCCCGTTCTTACAAAATCTTCAACCTCATCACTTAGAGATAACAAGCTGACTGTAATTTCAGTCACTCACAAACTTCTGCACCACGAGATGTTGGCACACAAGCAGCTGAGTGAACTGCGCCATCTGAGACAGAAAACAAGACCTCACAGAGGATCACGGCCTGTTAGCTCAAACAGCTGAGTTGTCTACAGTAAGACAAAAACACACTGGTGAGGGTGTTTTCGCTCACTATGAAAAATGTGCAGGCCAACAAGTTGCAGCTTACACAACACTGATAGTGTATGGAAAGTTTGCCATTAATCATATAGTCAATTGTGCAAATCATGCAGAATTGTCCTAAAAATATATGTAACAAAAAAAATAATGAATTAACATTTGGTAATGTAAAGGCAGTGTAGATAAGGTTGAGTCCTCTGGAAAGATTGTGACTTTTGAAAATATTTAAGTGCTAAATAAACACCACCCCGGTGACAGAAGCTTAATATATAGCTTTAGCTTTTATTTTAACTTTAAGGCTAAAGTATTTTTTTTAGCTCTGGACATTTATATATATATATATTAATATATAAATAATATATATATATATATATATATATGTATGTGTGTGTGTGTGTGTAAAGCTTGTGATCTGGATAACTTGAAAAATCAGCAACCTTCAACTTCCATTTTGGTGTGTGATTACATCTAGTCTTAGGAATCAAAGATTTGGTTGCCAAGTCAAATAAAAATGGCCACCACAGTACACATACGTAAACCAACCACCCAATCATTTGAGGAATATGCTTTCTAGTTTTCAATGCTTAAAAGCATCGTTTCCTCAAAGGATTGGGTCAAAAATAAGCAACGCATCAACTTCCACTTTAGCATGTGCTGCAATCAGGCATAAGAAATGGTACTATCAACAATTGGCTTGGTTATCCATAATGTTTTTTTGAGGAAACTATGATTTCTAGTTTTTATTTTGGTTAAAAGTATGGTTTCCTCAAATGATCTGGGGTGGCTGTACATTTATCTATGGTGGCCTTGTCCTGTCATTGCACCAGGTGGTGGGTAACATTGTTCCTACCACTCACCAGGCTCCGTCACTCTGCCATTATTATTATATCACCAGCGATGGGGGGCATCTGTGCACTGCTAGTTTATTTAGTAGGAGAAGTGGTAAAAATGTCTCTTCTACTTGTAAAGAATCAGATCTCTAATGATTGTTGTTTCTGCAGAAGAGTATGACTGACGTGAGTCATCTCAACTCACCTGCGTATTTGCCTGGAAGGAACGCTGGATATCATTTTCCTCCAGTTTCCCAGCATCTTGTTGACGGCACTTCTCTGCTTGAAAAAGTGACCAAGGGTACTGTTTATCATGTTGGACTGGGCACTCTCTGTACTGTCCCTGCAACCAGAACCAGACTTGTCATCCATCGCTGGGTTTTCACTGCTCAGCTTCCTCTCCACGTCATCCTTGCTCCTAACTGTAATTGCGTAGGCAGATTTCTTCCAGTGGCCTAAAAACAGAACTACTATACGCTCCTTTCTGAGGCTGACGGTGTCCTGAATGTCTGCTCCATTTTCATCATGTTCAATCCCAGAATCACTGTTCTGATCTGTCTCTGGAGCTGGCTTCGTGACTTTAGGTTCTTTGTCTGATTTTGCGCCTTCAGGGTGTGTGGAGAGACGAAACATGATGGGCTCCTCAGGATGATTTGGCAAAGAAAAATTCTGAGCCTCAAAATTTGATTTCAAAGTCCTCACGGACACTCCGAATTGATGGATCTCATCCTCTATGCTCTCCCTGCGCACTCTGGTGGAAGTCTGTCTATCTGGAGCCTGAGAAAACACAGTGATGAGCTCAGTGTTGGGCATCTTGCAGTAAGGCTGGTCTGTCAGGTTGGTCATGAGCAGAGACATGCTCTTCACAATGCCTGAGATCCTGCCGCACCAAACGGGGAGAGGAACCTGACTTTGGAAGTTTCTGAACTGTGTGTTGACAGTGATGTTGACTATGGGGGCTGGGAGGATGTGCCTAAGCTCCTCAGCCAGACGAGCCAGCTCCAGCTCATATCCCTCACAGTTCCTCTGCATGGAGACGTTGGCAATCTGCTGTTCCAGATAGATGAGGTCATCCTCATTCAACAGCTCACCAGAGGGCCCCAGGATGGCATTGTGGGCTTGGGAGTACCTCCAATTCACTTTGGCATATCTGTTCCCATTTTCCTGTAGAAATAAAAAATAAAGAGGCAAACAGCAGACTGATGAACATACACTGCCATTATAAAGACTGTCAAACATTTTAAATAACTTTGGCATGAAGGAAATAAATTAATGATACAGTAAAACTGCTACTTATTTCTCATCCAAACCTCAAAACTGTAGCATAAATCACAGTACGTTACGTGTGAATGATTTGTTACGAGCAATTTAAAGTAAACGGTGACTTGACATTTTCAGTAATGCACATTTAGAACTGCACTAAAATCTCACACCACAATTTGTGCTTTTCTCATTATAGTTTGAACTGGTTCAAGGACAATTTGTTTATACTACAGAGAATGTTTAGCTATTAACAGACAGAATTTCATAAGTTTCATTAATCGACAAGTACAACCACAATTACTAAAGGGTTGGAACAGGGACATTTCTGCTGTTGTTTAACACCAGTTTGAAAAATAAGTGAGGTACCAACTTTCATTTTGCTGTGTGGCTGCGTCAAGGCATAAAAAAGACCTATATCAAAAAGTGTGTTTCCAATTCAAAATCCAAGTTGGCCACCAATATATATGTGTATGTTGTGTATATATATATATAT